TCATTTTTCAAAACATGGGTAACCATTGATTAATAAGTTTTATACTGTCAAATATTTCTTTTAAAAAGTGTAAACTATCCCCAGAATGATGCCTATTAATTTTACTATGTATTTCAAAGTCAATCAAACATCATCAGGGATAATTTGTTGAATTTTGGCAAACAGTACATTGGTTGTTTACAAGTCCTTGTCGCCAAGGACGGTACCCATTTTTGATGCCCATTATATCATTTTTGTTCTTTGAAATCCACGTGCTCATGTGTCTATAATAGAGTATTTGGTTGCTCTAAATTTGACATATTTCAGTGAATATTTCTTAAAGTTTCTGTAAGAGTTTTACAGCAGTTTTAATGGAGTGTTTTATTTCACTCTAGTTTACTGATTGTTTACCATTCATTTTAATGCAGTATCTCATATAGCCCTTGTTTTTCCAGATTCTCACAATGAAACTATGTAATGAAAAGTGGCCACATAAACTGTAATCAATTCATTTTAGATTCAATCAGGAGAGAAAGTCAAGCTTAATGTCATATGATTTCTATGCTGTATGTCATAGAGCTCAGGACATTACCGGTATTTATTGAACAGCCCTCGTAGAGATTGAAAAGTGCAGCCCTTCACCTGCAAGTGGTATCATCTCAATATGAAAACAAATCTCAAAGGGACAATCAAAACCTGAGTTGAAAACGCCCAGAAAATTCATCCTTGACACAAAATAGCTTAATAGTACATTGACAACAAGACAAAATAAACGGGGTAGCAATGCCTTTGAGATTAATTGCTATTAAGAAACATAGTCCTTGTCATTGTATTACCCAGAAGTTCTTAAGCGTTTCCGTAACAGAAAGGAAACCATCAGCAAATGTACATTCATTGCTTTCTGTTATTATCGTGGAATGCAGATAGCCTCAACAATAAAGTAATATAGAGGAAGCCACTAATTAAGCGAATCATTTGAATAATTTTATCTCTTTTTTCTGAAAGAAATATTGCCGAAGGAAAATGCTTGTCCAAGTGTCGAAAATGACAAGACTACGTTTAAATTTAAATTATTTTATTTCAGCATGCGTTGGAGTTACAAGATTTAATTGCATTTAATTTTCTTTTGTTACAGTGCTATGAAGTTACTGTTTCTTACATTTTGATATTTCAGTTCTGCGTTATAGCAATAATAACGTGTGGTTAAAACTGAACGGAAACCGTCACATATGTTCTTGAACAGTTCCCCAACGCCCTATAGATGTTCCATTTCTAGCAAGTTTCATTAAATAAAAAATACTTATTTTAGAAGTACATATTATTTTTTCATATAACCATATTTATATTGAATTTCAAACTTCACACAAATCCTCGTAAACAAAGATACATGTTCATAAATGTTCTACCAAGTCTCTTTCTTTATTCTTCACAAAACTATTTATTTAACAGTTATGATGGAGAAACTTCAGGAGTACATTGCAACCATATATCCGAGAAGTGGTGTCAATCAGATGTGGATACTTAAAAATTCCAAGGATTTTTTGGAAAATTTTCAATCACAAATGTTTTACCAAAATCAACAACAAAAAAACTTACGACTTTTCAATTTTATTTACATTCATCAGTTAATTAAAATTTACTTTCCTTGTCATTGATCATTTGCAAAATTACTTTGTCAAAAACACTCATTTTTGATATCACACAAGCTGATTTTTCAGTAAAAAATGTTTGAAAAAAATTTTCAAAGTGCGTTAAATTAATTTACTTTCCTTGTCATTGGTCATTTTCAAAAATTACTTTGTCAAAAACATTGATTGTTCACACAAGTACTCTAAATTTGAAATTAAAAATATGCTTGAATTTCTGATTGACGATACCGGTATGTATGTTGTTTTTGGAGAGCAGGTCCTCTAACAATCTATTTGAATCCCCATGGGTGCCAATTGCGCCCTGTTACTATCAAACCTCTTTTTGTATTCCTATGAAGCAGAATTTGTCCAAAATCTTATCATGAAAAGAAGAAAAACACCTGAGGTGGACTTCAACTTGACATTTCGACATTTAGATTGTCGATGTCGTATTGCCAATTAACAATGGTCATTTCCATTCTGATATCGATACGATATATCCCGATGAGCTTGAGATAAAAGACACACAGAGTCTGGCATATCATTCTGTTTCGTAGTTAGATATTTTACTTGAGAAAGACGTTAATGGCAATCTAATAACCAAGCAAGATATACGTGATAACTGTAACTGTTCAATCGTCAACTTCCCTTTCTTATGCAGCAGTATACCTTCATCACCTGAATACAGGGTTTATATCTCTCAGTTGATATGATACGCGAGGTATGCTCTACGTACGAACAATTTCAAAGCGAGGTAAATTATTGACAAACAAGTTGTTAAAAAAAGAATATCATCAGTCTCGTTTAAAGTCATCATTTTGTTAGTTCTATGGTCGATACAATGACCTCATCAGCAAATGCAATTTATCATTAAGTCAAATGTTAACTAACTTTTTTCACACTTATCGTTAGGCCATTATATACACACTGAGTTGTCGAGGGATTTTCCTGGTATTTCGCGATTTTGACAAGGAGGGTGTGACCGCTCGGCAGGGGATGCTCACTCCTCCATGGCACCTGATCCCACCTCTGATGTTTTGGAGGTCGTTGTTTGCATTGCTTCTATTTTTATTGTTAAATGGACTTTTGAGCTTAAATACTGTTCTTTATCTCCATAAACATGTATTTCATTTCAAAGTATTTTTGATGACTTTAAACCAGGATTTTGATATTCGTAATTGTTTCATAAACTTGTTATCAATAACTCACCTCGTATTGTTATGTTTCCCTCTCTGTTAAAGTTTTTTGTAGAAGTATTCATAAAGACCTAGTGTGCGATATTTTAAATTTTGAGACGATATTTTGTCCTCGCTTATCGAAAGGCTGGACCACTTATCTTATTAATTCTTTGCGGTGACACTTGGCTTTACGTATACGTATGTATGCTACATGTACATGTAGATATTCTGGGTTCTTTCCAAAATTCAACATTTGATTCAAATATTGTTTTTGATAAGAATCGCAAGGACAGATATATACTAGTACCTTTTGTCAAAATTCATACCTAAGGCATTTTATTTAAAAAAAAAGGGTTTTCTTACACTCAGTATTTTTATTCTGATTCGAAAAGGGACTAACAAACATTTGATTTTAAACTTAAGGTAATCCGATCCTCAGGTTTATAAAATTAGCAGTTAAGTAATCAAAAATACTCATAAAAGTATCTCTGAATCCACAAAGTTATGTAAATTTATCCACAGTATTTCTTTAAAGTTAAAAATTAAAGTTAATCATATTATATTGGGAAAATTGTCAAATCTCCAATATTTTTGCAGAAAAAGCGAATTGGAATATCAGCAATACATTTTCTAATTGCAAATTGATCAACAAATATATTTTAGGTTAAAAAACGATAGGTATCCAGGCATTCAGAGAAATTGTCATGATTTTTATACTTATTTGGTATTTTTTGTCGTCTATTTACGTCACGTATTCTATAATACATAGTGTAAAAGGCTTTTGCTATTGTTGCAAGACACATCATATTACTTCTTATTTCATTTCATGCTAATAAGCGTTGGTATCTAAGGCTGGATTCAAGAAAATATTATTTTTTTTAAAAACCTGTATAATTATTTTTTTTTCTTTTATAGGGTACAAATGTCAACATTTATAAGACCTTCTCTAAGACTTCCAAAACCTGTAATCTTAAAAAGATGAATAAAATGAAAATTGTCTCATGAAAAAAATTCATTTTCAAACTTCATTTTGATGCATTTCAAATTAAATATTAATTTTTTGAGTTATCCTTCCTGTCTTAGGATCGGATATCCTTAAGGACGTTGATTTACTTTTTGCATGACATGGAGTTAGCAAGGACCTCTAACAAATCTAATCGAAGATTAAGAGGGAAATTAACTCCTCAAAAAATCGAACTTATTCTGGGTGCTAGTTATTTATCATTACAGGTGGATTGCTCGGTTAGGTTATAACAGCATCTGTAACATGAATGTCATTTCTATGAGTTATTAAATCCATTTCATGAATAAAATAAAACATTTATCCAGCATTACTATTTCCGCCAAAGCCTCTAGATATCATTATAAGGAAATCAAGCCTTATTTATTATTAACTATTACGACCTTTTTTTCTCTCTTCCAAACCTTGGACCACCGGTTCATCGGCTTATAATCCAATAGTGATATCATGTTATACCAGGAGAACTGAAATGCTATTATTTAAGACCAGTATTCGTCGGAACATTGACATCTAGTGGTGGATTTGTTTCTTCTGAATAGATGTACATATGCACTCCATACATATTCTCGTTCTCTTCTGGATTACTAAATATAGAAAAATAAGTGTATCTTGTAATTCATTTTGAGTATTTCACAGATTTTTTTTTCCATTTAATAGTATTTTTTATCTTCCAAATGCCCGATTTACTTGACATTTATCCGGTCTCATCCGAAGTAGAACTTTTTGTGTACTGACCTGGGATTCGAACCCGTGAAGATCACAGCCCCTCACTCTGCGACTCTAGAAAAAGCAATTTTTTTGGCTCTAATCTCTGCGACATGTCTGCGGCAGTGATTTTTTTCTTCTTTTTTATATGTACGTGCGTGTGTACTTGGAAAGTAAGATTCAGCAGATTTTTAAAAAAATAAATTCCAAAACAGAAAAGTTCAATTAGGCCTAGTATCGTAGAGAAGGATGAGACATTTAATAACGAGCAATTATCCTCATTGATACAAAGCATTGACTTGTTTAATATATTTAAGAAATCATTACAGCAGACATCAAAGCGCTGTCAGATACAATATTTTGAGTAGAATGAGGAGAGCGAATTAAATTTTCAGATTGTATATTGATTTAATAATATAGAGAGGCGCTGATCAATGTCTGTCACGTGATGTGTATCCTGCGACTACAGGTTGTTCTGTATATCAATAGATAGAGAAATCTGTAGCAAAGTGTCCTGTAACATCTGTTGTGTCTTGTGGCCGAGGACAAAAACAGGATACGGCCCTGGGACTGCAGTGTGAACCAGCAGTGTGAACCAGCAGCATCACCATCTCTCTTCATGCTGCACTACAAAAGGGGTCCGTGTTACTGTTATTGAAATGATGGGACAGAGTGCCAAAGTCTTTGCTAAGTGGTTTTCTTTGACGTCCTCAGCTGCTCAAGGTAGGCATGCAGTTTATTTTTCAGATTCAAGTTCTTGAAATTGAAGGATTTTTATTTTTCCTGATATTTTATTTAAGGTATGAAACTGCTTATAGTCATCTTCAAACAATCATAGTTGAAAGATAATTCTTTTCCTTATAATAAACACTTAAAGGATTACTTAAAGGATTACATCGCAACATAAAGTATGATAAAATAAAAGAATTGTTTCCCCTAATTTAGATAACCAGGTATAACGAATGATAAAAAACTTTTTTTTATATGTCTGAAATTCTTTGTCTTAATAACATCTGTAGAAATATTTACTGTGCAATGATTGATAAGTATCAATATATATGATGTTGAGGTGTACCTACCTACTCGTATTTTTCATTAAGTTTTAATCCAGTTTCATTTCGACTTTTTGCATATAAAAGTTGATAACATGTAATTGCAAATAATATCCTTTGTTCAGCGATATATCAGAAAAGAGAATGATTTAGAAAATTTAGCGAGTACTAGTTATCTCAAATCTTTTATAGGTAAAAAAATCATCTCATTTTAAATTTTAAGGATTTTTTTTAAAATTAGAAAGTATTTATATATATGAACAATTTTTTTTATAAATAATTTTGAAAGTAAGCTTACGAAGATTATCCTGATATACAACTATGTTTGATCATCATCCGCACAAAAAAGGGAAGAGAATGATACAATTCCTCAATGAATAATGTATAGACATAAACACTTTGAATGTCATAAAGTGAAATAAAGAAGCAATAAATGGATAATGCAATCATGATTTAATCCGCTGTGGATTCATAAAAAACTTAAGTCAGCTCACGGAAGTTGGTCTCTATTGTTAATCTTCAAAGCTTTCGAGATGCCCGGAAGACGAGTGATTAATTGTTGACTATAAATTGATGAAATTTCAATGTTTCCACGAAAATCGATATCTGCTAAGGATGGCGTGGCTTTTTGGTGAAACACATGATTTCTATTTTAGCTACAGGGTAAACATCTATCATTAACTCCAGCTTAATTTCGATTACATTGTAGTTAAAAATGTCCATCATGTAATTTATACCTTCCTCGTCTATTTGCTCTCAGACAATAACAAAAAAATACATACATCTGTAAAAAATGCATTCCTAGACAATAGTAAGTTTCGTGTTAAATATAGAATAATCTGTTGATTTAAATCCCTTTGAAATTTGTACTTATTCTGAAAGTTAAAAATATGAAAATATGATTAATAATTTATGATGAGGAAAGACTTTTAAAAGCCTTCCTCTAGTTTAGCAATTTCATGTGCATAAAATTATCGAAGTAGACACAAATAAACAATAATTTCTTTTATTATCAGATAAATATTAAAGGCGATGGAACTAGTAGCCGTACAATTTAATGTATTGTGTATTGATGGATAGTCTATATTCGACAGCTGTTGCTAGATAATAAGAAAGGACTTTATTGCTTTTTTGGATTTTTTTTCCTCAATCATTTTGAGTCCTTCCATTCGTGACCGACAGAATTTTTGCAGCAACATACAATAAACTTAAAGGAACACTGGCTTCTGACCTTTGCAACATTATTTAACTACGTTGAATCACGACAATACATTACTTTCAAAAACTTCATTAATGGTAAATAAGCTTTTATAGTACTTTGTAATACTTATAGTAAGTACTTTATCGGAGTTTAATAGAACAGTCATTATTGCAGTAGTAGCCATGCATCGTAGTTTTTGTAAGGATAAAGTGCAGATTCCTCTAACAGACCGCAACTCTTTAGGCAAGCCTTGCAATTGTTGACACCTATTATGTTCAATCAAAGCGAAAAATAATCTCTTAAACAGAAAGTCGCTTTATGCCTCCTATTATCAGCCTTAGTGCAGTGAAAAACAAAAACACAGCAGTTTTGTCAATGTCATTTAATTCAATGACATAAAGTAAAATGTAAAACAAATCATTAAGCAATATGCATGTACATAGGTGAAAGGTACCTATTAACATGTTATGCATAAAATATAACATAAATGTTTCCTTGGATCAATTTTTATGGTATAAAATAATATAAAACCAAAAACCCCAAAAAAGGTGTTGTTAAACACCAGGCTATGTCAAGGATTTTGATTGGGTGCTCTGTCAAGAAAAGCATGTCGCTTGCGCTTTCGCAATGAAAGGTTATATGATAATTGTGTCACAATTTTTTTTTGAATATTCATCCTCATTGTTCATTACAATTTGTACATGACCCATTTTTTAACTTTAAGTACAAATGTTTAGTTTAGATATCAATTACCTTACAATTCTACTTTCCTCTCTATCCCTAAAACTATTTGATTGCAAGTTAAATATTTGACAGTCTTATTAATTGACTTAGAAATTTGATTTGGTCAGCCACGAACCAGTTTACGTCGATTAAGATGATTCAAAAGCGTAAATATAGAACAAAATTTTAGGGTAAAAACAAAAATATATTCTCTTTTTAATGTGCATCCATTTGAAAGTGTCAAAGTATGCTTCAGCATGAGAAAAGATCTGTTTAATGATTTATTAAAGATTCCTCATCGATATCATTGGATGTCCACGGGCTTGTCGCTATTTTTAATTGGAATATTTGCGGAGATCAAACTAATTTTCTGATATTGCCTCCTTAGCATTAAATCAAGTTTTGTGTCGTTAAATCAATTTTATCGATCTTCTTATACATCCCTAAGCTTCCTATAAATGCATGACTGTTTCTTAGGAAATGAGACGCATATTTTCATCTTTTTACAATTTGTATCTGCAAGAAAATAGTAGTTAGGCCTAAATAATTTATTATTGCAGATATATACGAACAAAATGCTATCAGATTGAAACTTTGTTGAAAGTTACACCCAAAGAATGCGTATATAAAAATGTAACATATTAATAGTAACAATTAATTACTGTTGATGAATGGCTAATTAAAACTGAGTTTAAAAGCTGGATAATCCATCGTCACTCAAAGTAATACATATAAGATCTATCAGCTTTTCTCCCCAGTATTTTCCTCTTTTACATTACATGATCATTTTATAACTCGCTTTTAGCAGTCTAGTCAATGGTAGGGTTACTATCATCGGTTCCGTTTGTTAAGCAGCTGTTTGTATATTTGTCTGTGAACAAGATATTAAAATGCTTCTACTGTTTTTACGACTTCGGTACGATTGCAATAAACTGCGTGTAAACTAAACTAAGATATGTAATGCTATTTATCTGTTTCATATTTTGACAAATGCAGTTGCCCTGATTACTAAAATGGAAAAAATTGTAAACTCTTAAATTGCAGCGGATTTGAATTTGGTACAAATCTGCAAGAAAATTCTGTTGTTTTTTTTTTTTCAGAAGTTACAATAATTATATTGTTACATGATTCACTCCAAGATGGAGGTAAATCTATGGAAGAATTTTCTTAATCTTCTAATTTTATGCCCCTGTAATAGAAGATTAGGGATATATAATCTTTGCCCTCTCCGTCCGTCCTTCTGTCTGTTTATCTTCTGTCTGCAAAAAAGTTTATTCATGAAACATATGGAGATAACGAACTCTATTCAAGATCAAAAGTTCATAAAACAGTACAAAATAGGAGCAGAGCAAACACGGACCTCCGAAACATCAAGGGTGGTATCAGATGCCATGGAGGAGTGAACATCCCCTGCTGACCGGTCACACCCGCCGTGCTCATCGTCATAATCGGAAAATAACAGAAAAATCCGTCCTCAATTCAGTATATAAATAATGGACTAAAAATTAGTATGAAAAATGTCAGTCAGCATTTGACTCAATGATATGTTGTATTTGCTGACAAGGTCATTGTATCGACCATAGATCTTTCGAAATGATGACTTTAAAGGAAAACTTGTTTGTCACTAATATAAAAGCTGGATAATCCATTATAAACTCACTCAAAGTATGGAAGTTGACGTTTGTAAGGTTAAAGTCATCATGTTCATAAATTTCGACTGCTTGGAGCTATGGCTTTCATATTTCACAATTATATATATTCCTTATGATAAGATTAATTAATGTGCGATAGAGTAAGGAGTTGAATTATCCACTGTAAAATGTTGTTGCTTTTACATAGTATAAGTCTTAATTTGGAACCCTCCTCCAGCAAGTGTTGGCTTCTTCATATGAGTGAAAAATTATCAGCAACAAACAAGCTAAAACAAATCATATCTGACCCCTTGACCTTACAGTCTGACCCATTTCTTTAAAAAAACAAAACAAAAAACACTTAGCCACCTTGGCTATAACGGTTGGTGTTAGGTCTTTTTTATTTTATTTGAATATTAAATATTTTTATTTTTTGGGCCTTTTGCTTTATATCATATGGATAAGCTTCCATTTGTTTTTTCTGAAGATTATTGTCTTTTAAAATGTTTTTCATGACTGTGCATCAGAAATTTTGCTTTATATCATATGGATAAGGAAGATGTCTTTGAGATGTTTTTCATCACGAAATTCCGATAAAAGAATCCTGTTCTTCCTATAGTTTACAGATAATTGTCGTGCAGGCATTTGAGCGATTTCCTAACCTGGAGAATCAGTTATCAGATTAATGCTTTTGTGCAGAGAAAGACAGAAAATCATTCCCCTACGAACTGATGAATGCCCTTTTTCATGCCAATTAATAAATCTTCTCCCACAGTGGCTTAGCTCTGCCACATAGTCAATACCAATATGCAAATAGTGCTTAATCTTAGCTAATGTTACACCATGTTACAAATCGAATGAAACTGAGACTACATCTGAAGGACAGGAGTGAAATACAGTAATTAATCAAATTTTATTGATAATTATATATATTTTGTTTCAATACAGTTCATGTAAAAAGGATATATACTGAGATTTGGTAAAAGTGATGTTTTCGCTTTTCCATTCTTATGGGGTATTTTGTAACGTGAAATATACATTAATTGTTTCATAGTACTAGTATGTTAAAACATGCAAAGGCTAGATAACAAAATTGAACAAAATAAAGAAAGTCTC